ACTAAATTCTAACCAATTTGCAAATTTCGACACGTTGTAATGCCGTTTCCTGACCATCAGATTTCTGTCAAATCTTCCCCCAAAGTCCAGGAAATGGCATTTCAGAGACTCTAAATTCAAAAATTTTCCTGGGGGGGCATGCCCCCGGACTCCCCTAGACAAACATCGCACCTGCGGCGCTCGACTCGTGCATTCGGCCCTCGTTTATCAAGCGTAATATTATAGGGGCGCATATTGGTTGCCAGCCGACTGGCCCCCCAGAAAAATAGTACTCAGCACGCCACTGATACAAGTTGTAAGCATGTTTCAAAGTTGGAACACGGAAACGGGACGATTGCACTATAGACCTGATTGGCATTTATTCTGGAATTTTCACAGGCTATCGCATAGACGTATGCTGAAGTGCACAAGTGGATCTCTTGTTAAACTTGCTTATAGCTTATAGTTTGTGTTCCGTGCCGCGGGTAGACTGTATATACTGATTACTGCTGTTTCTACCGCTGTAAACAGCAATGACCAATGCATGTACATTTATTGCTGCATTGATTGCATTATTTACTCCCTGGCCCGCTACCGTCACGGTCAATATGGCTTGATGGCTGTCGTTCAGTTAATGAGGCTATTCGCGTTCGTACTCGTGCTGCGGTGCAGGTTAACTAATGAAACGAATACATGTCGGTTTTCCACTACTGTTTTAGCTATTAAAATTCTTTAGGATACAGAGCACAGTAGCAGTAACATACTCTATTTCCGTAAGAGCCTTGGCACATACATGTAGATACTACTAAATTATTTTCAATTTCGACAACAAGATGTGTTTGGTGGGAAACTTCGAAGAAATTTGCTAGGTGAAAACCAGATCTTGTTGTACTAGCTCTACTACAACATAGACGATAAGTTTCAGAAAGTAGAAAATTCAGAAAGTTCCTTTGTATCCTTCGTTGTTCTTCGGTGTTATTATTACAGTCAGATTTTATCATTTTAATCAGCCTATACCATATCGGGAATGGACGAGAATGCAGTTTTCAAGGTGGGGCTATTTTTCAAGATCGTTAAAACGCAAAAAAATTAACAACAAGGCACTTGTAACAATTCTAACCTTACCCTAAGCCTTACCTAAACCTAAACCTAAACCCAATCCTAACCCTAACATTAACCCTAACTACTAAAGCGAACTCTGTTTACTCTGAGTTTAAATTTTGAACTACCTTGGAAAACTTCTCTCTTGTCCATAGCGATTACCATACCATATCATGGCATCGAGTACAAATCGAGTCATAATTATAGTAGGTTTCACGAAAATAGTGTTCCATTTTGTTCCCGACCTCGAAGAATTATTTATAAGTGATATTTAGCTCGTTCTGATGTTACCTCACAAGCTAGGGCTTCCGCTTCCGCTGGATAAACCACCCTACAGGCTATCTTTAAAACAGGGAATTCGGGGAATGGGAATGGGAACGGTACGAAATACGAGGACGTACTTGACAGTTTTTACCATCTGCACATTATCTGTGCATTCCGAGCTTCGGGTTATGTCTCACAGTTTATGAATAATGACCCTAATCTAACCCTGATTGTCCCTGATCCAGACAAAACAGCGAGACATGAAACTATTTCCCATCTTTGTTCTTCTGCCTTCGTTCAGAATGAAGTTCACGACGAATTTTGCCAAAATATGCAAAAGCCAAAGTCACACTAGTACACTGCTGAAAACTGCAAGCAACAACAAAACACCTCAAGCACAAATATCCTAAATACAGAGGATCCCCAGAGGTTTTGAGCCAATTTGAGGAACAAATGAACAAGGAATGTTTTGCGATCATGTAAACTTGGAAAACAAGGAAATAGACACATGAATACACTGGTGTTTCAAGTGGTAGTTGGCTACTTGATTTCCGGCTTTATTTTAACACAATAGCAATTGACGCAGTTATATTTGCAGACTTGACCTGTGATATTTCCTCTCCCATTTTTCACAGTGCTGTATTGGTTTCCCCTTTTCCGCGATTTGTTGATGGCCTTGGGTCTTTGCGACGTTTCCAGAGAAAGTTTTGAACAGATATTGTGCAAACAAGGTCGTGGTAATATTGCCATTGTTGTCGTTGGCGGAGCAGCCGAGTCACTTGATGCACATCCTGGGTTTTACAAGTTGACTTTGAAAAATAGAAAGGGATTTGTCAAAATGGCTATACGTACCGGGTGAGTCACCAACATCCTTGAACTAGTTATCTTTAGTCTTCGTTACTAGTGTTCCTTTGTGCTTTTTTCTTAGATAGAAGAGACAGGGCCAGAACTACTGGGGGGTGTGGGAGTGCCGTAACACCCCCAATGAAAAGTCGGTGGAATGCTGGAATTGCGGAACGTGTTAAATAGTATGGAATTTTCTGAAAAATTGAGGTCAAAAAAGGTCTGAAAAAGTATTTTTCAAGTCCCAATTATCTCAAACTAGTGTTTGGAAAACTTTTTGGGACGTTTTGTTTCACCTGACAAACCCCCTCCCCCCCCCAACCAGTACCGCTCGGGATCGCCCTGAGAAAAGACCATAACTCAAAAGCAACATCAGATGGTCAACATGGGTACCAGGGGGTTGAAATTAACAAAATTATAACAAATAGTAACAAATCACTCTGCTATGGAACAAATGGATCCCATAGTTCCATAAAAATGACCATACAGATTGTGATTACAAGGCATAAATTATCAGCTAATTTGTATTTAAAAATACTTTTCAGGGCGTCCCTTGTTCCAGTGATATCCTTCGGGGAAAATGATTTATTCACTCAACCTCGTAATCCACCAGAATCAAGATTGCGCCGATATCAAAATGCCATTCAAAAAATTATATCATTTGCACCAGTTCCATTCTTTGGACGTCGTTTTGTGCTTCCACATCAAAAGCCAATCAACACAATTGGTATGATACCATATGATGCTAATTAATAGTTACTACCTGTTCCAAGCCCATATAAATAATTCCAGTTATAATAGATTACCTTCTGAATTCTGGCTATCAAATGGGCCGTATATTGAAGATTTTTATACAAAATATTATCCAATCGTGAGAGGTATTCCGTATTAAATCAATATTTTAACTCATTAATGTAATTTTTGTTATCTGTAGTTGGCTCTCCAATTCATGTGAAGAAAAGGACGAATCCTTCTCGACGTCACATGAACAAGATTCACAATCGATACGTTGCATCTTTGAACGAGTTGTTCCAGCAAAATAAAGCAAAGTATGGCATCAAAGAGACCACACCTTTGATAATTGTGTAAATTCGACGTTGAAATATGGTGAAGACTAATGAAACAATGAACACGTTCATCAACACATAGTTGGTAAAATGAAGAAGGTTAGGAAACGAGCAGTAATAGTTTTATACAATAACCTTGGGGTTTACGTTCATGCAAAGATATTGACCTATCATCGTCGGGTCTGCATTGATATGTTTACCAAACTACTCATACCGTCAATCCTCTATCAGGTCCCCTTCAAGTCCCTGACCTTCTCAAATAAGTTTTCTCAAATAGGCGCCGCCCCTTTCCCATCCCCCACTTGCTACATTTGGGTTAAATATATAAGACCCACTCTCTATTAAGAGCCCCTGTCAAACGAGCCCCCTTTTCAAATAAGCGTCATATGAAAGGCTTTAATTGAGATTGAATTTAGAAACTTGTCAGGCCCAATCTCACTTCCAATATTTGGGTCAAATAATTCTGGAAGAATCTGATCCTTTGGGCGTTAATAATAGAGGATTACGGTAACCATGAATAGATGAATTTATTTCTCTTTATTATCACGAATTGCACCGAGTTTCCAATAACCTTCGTTATTGACTATGATGAACTGTATGGCAGAATGTTTTCCTTTCTTCAAAATGAATGGAATCACACAGACGTAAATTATTGTACATTTTTCATCAAGAAATGAGGTTACCACATCTCTTCCAGACGATTAAATGGATTATTGATTGAGAGACAGCTGAACACTATGTGACAATAACATTAATTTTATAATGTTTTAAATTAGTATAATTTATTATGATAATCCTTTCATGCATGTAATTCATACGTCTACGTTCTCCATCTGTATCGCGGAGAACGTGTATAGTTTAAAACAGACACATGGTATTGTATAATATTTCATACGTTTTCTGGCTGAAAATGCTGAACACGACATGTAGAATAATGTATTTTATATTTGTAAATATCATAATTACCACTTTAATTACGGATCTATATATTTCTTACTTCATCCTGCTAAAGGGGGTGATATTTATGACCATATTAAGTTGAGCTGGAAAACGTGTAACTGGAAATCTCTAGCGTTGAAGATTATAAATGACATGCAGTTGCTATACGGGTAGTCCTAAAAATCACGCTCAATTTCAGTTACATTTCAATTGCAGTGCCCAGGGACGCCGGAAAGGGGGGGGCGCATCGCCCCCCTTGCCCTTTAGTAAGGGGGGCAGGGGGGGGCGAAAGTGCCCTTAGAGTAAAAATTCTAACCCAAAAAATATGAGGTACAACGATTAAAAAGTATGAATTACGCGTGAAATGGACGTAATATTGAAATAGACGTGAAATTTTCTGGAATATTAGTCAAAAATTAGGTTAACTTTCAAATTTTTTTGCCCTTGTTTTGGTGAATTAAAGTTCCGGAAAATTTTTTGTCCTTGTTTTGGTGAATTAAGGTTCCGGAAAAATATTTCGGACACGAAATATTAATTAGTGATTGCCCTTACGTCAACATTGCCCCCTTGTGCCCTACCCTCGTTCCGGCGTCCCTGGCAGTGCCTTTAAGAAAAAGATGCTGATTTGGCCTTATAACCCCAATAGACTGTTTCTTTTCGGTGATTTATACTGTGTGTCGATTAATAAGTGACGTAGCCAAGGGGGCAAGGGGGGTTGCATCTCCCCAACCGCGTCATCCTCTCAAAAAGTCTGATTCTAAATGTTTTCGTCTAGATTTAAGACAGGTGCTGCATCGTGAAATCATTTCGGTGATTTCCGAAGCCATGCCAGGCCAATATGAAGCTTCTCGAGCACACGGTTTACACCTTTCTATGCCTAGATGTCCTTCGTGTATCCGGCTCTTCATCTCTCTCCTCATTGACGTTGGCACAATGATGCAACTGCCTCTTAGCATGATGGCTTCTGCTTCTGAAATTTCATCTTGACGAGTTAGGTATGGCTTGACTGCACATGGTATTGTCCTTTTGTTATCGGGCCATTCTCGAATGAACAGCGTCAGTTTCTGCAGATTTTCTTCCTTTGCAATTTCTCTCTTGAGCTCATCTAGTTTGGACGTAGACTCTTGATTATGAACATCGAATTTCTTGTTCTGGAATTTCTGGTTTGACATGATGAGAGACATGATATGCTCTGCTGAGTGTATCGGCTACAGGCATCTCACTTCCTGGGGTAAATTGAAAATCATATTTGTGAAGTCGTAGCAGGAATCTCTGGATTCTAGGGGGTACGTGTTGTGCGATTTTAGGGCGTACATTGTTGAGCGGTTTGGTTCGTACTATGACCCGCTTTCCATAGGTATACTCATGAAATCGTTCATGACAGGCAAACACTACTGCTGGTAATCAGACATCTTCTCCAGCGTGTTAATTGCTGTTTTGTATTGCTGTTCGAAGCGCCATTAGACATCTTTCTTCAGTAGTTGACGTAGTGGTGCTGTTTCTTTCGATAGATTTGGCAGGAATTTACCGAGATAATTAATCATTCTGAGAAATTGTTGTAGCTCTGTTTTGTTACTTGGCGTTGGCATCTTCAGGATAGCTTCAATTTTACGAGGGTCTGATGGCTTGATTCCATCAGCACGGGTAAGGTGGCCAAGAAAGGTTATTTCTGTCACTCTGAAGGTACATTTCCTCTTCAACTTGAGTCCCGATCTCGAACTAAATCAAGGACATGCTTGAGGGCTTTGTCGTGTTCTTCACTATCTTTCCCAAAGACAATGCATGATGTCCTCTCGGTCGTTGGCTGCACCCTCGATGTCGCTAATGATTTCAGAAATCTTTTTTGGAATACTTCCGCTGCACTGTGTATCCCGAATGGTAGTCTCTTAAAACGGTGTTTGTCAAATGGCGTATTGAATGTTAAGCTTGCCGCACACGAGAGAAACTTGCTGAGCTAACCGCCTCGAGTAGTGGCTAGCTCAGCTATGTATTTTCAACGCACACGTTGGGAAAACTATTCAACAACAACATAATTGACAATACATTTGCATTTTCCTCCATTTTGTTCCACGTCACAAGAAGAAACTATGGTTTCTCATTGGCTAATTGATTTAAGCAGCTCAGCACTAAGCTCACAACATCCGCAGACGTTGAGATTTTTTCCTCGCGAGGTGAAAAATATCAAACACGATAGATATTTTCCTCAAGGCCTCGAGAGGTCAAATCCTCACGAAAACCATCCACACACAAGAGAAACTTGCAGAGCTAACTGCCACGCGAGGCGGTTAGCTCAGCAAGTTGCTCTCTTGTGCGGGCTTAAGCAATTTGGAGCTTTCGCCATCGACTTTTATTTTTGCCAATTAATATCCACTTGACGCATCGAATTTTGAAAATACTTTTGCTCCTTCAAGCTTAGCTAGTATTTCATCGACAGTTGGCATGGGATGATGATGCCGTTTGATTGCTTTGTTAAGATCCCTTGGGTCAAGACATAGGCGAATTTGGCCATTAGGTTTCTCGACGATCACCAAGGAACTCACCCAATCGGTTGGTCCATCAATCGTATCTATCACGTCAAGTTGTTTCATTCTTTCTAATTCTGCTTTAAGTTTGTCCATCATCGAGATGGGAATTATTCTAGGTGGATGTATAACGGGCTTAACTTCAGGATCAGTAATAATATGATATTCTCCTTGTAAACAGCCGATTTCACCAAATACGTCTTTATATTCTGGCATTAAATTTGGATCTGAGGTGCATGCTGACCGCCCATATTCGTTTGATAATGTTGAGCTTTTGGAAAGTTTGAAGTGGTGGCAATTCGGTGTCGGTGACGATGAATTACATAACTTTAATGTGACTTTCATTCTTGTTTACCATGTTTAATTCACACTTCCCTGAATTGCTGGTATATTTTCCCCCATTATATGCTGATAATTTCACATTTGTTTCTTCTAAGATGGGCTCGATGTTGAGTTGGTTGATAGGACGTTGGCTTGAGTCCCTGTGTCCATCTTATATCAGATTTTAGAACCATTTGATTGTAAAGAAATAAACCAATCTCGCTCGTCGATCAACTTTCGACAACACTGTGTTTTTCTCGGATGTAGCTTTACATTGTTTAGTCTGTTTAACCGTGATGATTATCATGATTCATTGAATCTTATCACGGCTTTGATGAACATCCAAAATGACATTCCACAGTTGAATTAGCTTAGTTTGATTCCTATAACAGCATGAAGTTCATATAATATTTTGTTTGTGGAAACACCACGTAAATTTATTACTGCAAAGCCTTCGATCCGTAAGGCCGAATCTTCATCAGTGCTAATAATATGTGACTTTTTCAACTCACACGCCCTTTTTATATACCAAAGTGTCTCTCGCCTCATTTGAAAAAAAAGTAAAAGTCACATATTATTAGCACTCATGAAGATCAGTATTATTATTTTTATTATTATTATTATTATTTGAAAGTCATATATTATTTGCATTGATGAAGATCCGGGCTAACTTACGGACAAATAATAAATAAATTTACGTGATAAATATTATTATAAAAAATAAATAAATATTATTTAGTATTATTTATAATAGTAATAAATTTACGTGGTGTTTCTACAAACAAAATATTATATGTTTTATCGCCATGCAAACCTACAAAGAACTTAGCATGAAGTTCATTCAAACAATCGTTTATGGTCAGGAAAAAGATTACGATTCACCACGGCTGTCCCAGTTCAAATGAGCAGCCCCTAAGTCTACAAAGATAAAACGCCTGTTACGCAGGCTAGGTCATACTGAAATTTCAGGATTTTGGGCAAATTACATGCATAAATGAAATGTAAATGGAAATGAAAATCGCAGGGTCGCGAGTTCGATGCCTACATGCCAGAGGACCTATAGTCGAATTTTTCGTAACTGGTAATGGTTAGGTCTAACAAATGTATAAAATTTATACACTCGATATTTCGATTTAAAAGATATTTAATTATAAAAAGGACAATTTTTCCAAAAGCCTCAGGCTTACAAAAATAAGTTACAAATGTGGCAATTAATTTTTGACTTCTTGTACCTCACTTCATGAGCTGTTTTGGAAAGAAGCTAATGAGTAAGAACTATACGAACGTCAAGTGGCAAAGTGTTCCAAAGTTTTACTGAGGAAACTGAAAATAATTTTTTAAAACGTTCAGTCCTTGCATATGGGATAAAATAATCTTTTCCAGTACGGAGATTGTAAGCTGTTTGCTGTTACAGAACTAACTTCGATCGGACAGAGTTCCTGTAAGTACTAAGTGGGATGGTGCAAGATTATTAAGTGTCTCATAAATCATATTTAGCTATAGTTTTAGCTTGTGATAAATAGTCTTAATTTCTTTCAGTTTGACCCATACTACTTCATTAAAGTGCACCTAACCTCAATTCTTTTTATCATTTCATTCAAAAGAACTTCCGAAATGATATAATAACTTGCTGCATTTTGAAGTATTCGTTTGCTCTCTTTGTTTCTGAGATATTTCAGTTCGTTTGGTATGCAAATATCCGGAATTTACGTCACAAATGCATAATGACTTAAAGTAAAATCTTGTATATATCGTATTCACTACCGAGTTTAATTCATTAAAATGCAGTTTGGAGTTGTGAGAGGATTACATATATCTAGGTAAAACACAATTTAACCTTTTAATTAAATAACTCCGAGACAAAGTGTGCAAACGAAAATCTTCAAAATAAGTTATTATATAATTTCAGAAGTTCTTAAGAATGAAATTAGGCCTATAAAAAGATTTGAGGTTAGGTCACTCTAAGAAACCTTTCGCGAGATGTTCCCTTTATAGCACCCGTAACCAATCTAGCCGCTTCATACTGGAGTTGTTCAAGAAGATCATTATCAGTTTCGTTACAACCATCTGCATATTCCAAACATGAACGAACCGGTGATTTTTACAAAACAGATTTGTATCGGCTTTATCCGTTGCAGGCGCTAGTTTGAATATCTAGTCTGGTTTCCACTTGGTTGTAACAATCGTGACCAAGCCATATCCGACGACATGAAATCGTATGAGTCTATCTCGCCTCTTGTGTGCTGTCATGAGAAACTGAGAATCAGTCTTGGAAAGGATACGATTTCATCACAAGTTAGCCATAAGTGTTTTTTATTTGATCAGTGGCTCAATCCGCACTTCGTCTAATTAACATCCTCCGCGTCAAATATATAAGAAAGCACAATTCCTGAAAAATTAATTCGGTTTTTTGAGTTGTGGTATAAATGGTGTCAGCATGCACATATAACCAACCCGATAGTGCCGTCGAAAGTAAATTGTCATGGGGGTGGACTGTGGAGGGCTCAACCAAGGGGGTCTGAGGACATGCTTCCCCAGAAACAAATTGCGTTTTCGAAGCCTCAGAAGAGGGTTGACTGTGTTTTCAGATTTCATTAAAGTGTGTTCATCAATGTATGATTTGCATTCGCGGGTATCGAGACTGCACTCCTCGGATTTATCCGGGACTTTGGCCGCGAAAGTGCATGAACATTACATTGTAAAAGGGGAGGCGAAATTAATCTCCATAATTATAGTCTGCACCAAAATATGTTGTGCCTACCTATACCTACCTGAGAACGAAAACCCTGCAATTAAAGCGAAAATTCCAGACCATCCTATATGATCGGTGAGATTTTGCGATAAAATTGATCCAAGAATTCCACCAAATATCTAAAAATATTAGTCAAGAAGTGTTCAGTAAAATCCTGAATGGCGAGCGCCAGTGTAGGGAGAACATTGCAAACTCTGTAGATGATGCAACTACCTGACAAGTATAAAAATAACGCTCACAACGTCGAAGTTCTTTTTGTATTTTTCAAGTAGCTGCATGATCTCCACAATCCGCAGTTTGTAAAAAGGGTCAACCTACGGGCACATAAAAGCGAACAACTTGCCGTTTTCTCGTTCGCAAAACGTCGGAAATTCAGTTTGAGCCGTCATTTTGTTTTTCTCTACTAGCATGATATGAGCTAATACCCTGCTAGTAGAGAACTAATCAGATCGATTGCAGAATACCTCGTATCCAGACCTTGTGTATATAATAATGGTATATGTTCACGGTTCGTTGCTTTGGTGAATATTAAAATCGTCGAATATATTGACCAGAACACACAGCGGGGTGTGACTAAAAAATGTAACCTTCATAAAAAGGTTCATATACCCAGTTCGTTGCCATAAGTAATGGAAGTGTAAAATAAAATTTATATTTTTGTACACACTTGTGTGTGTATGTGAATAAAATTATTCGTACTCTTTGTCAATGCATATATTAGACAAATAAATGCATTTAAAAGTTTTTGTTCTAATAAAAAAGATGATAGCGGTTTTTAGCTAGAAATTCATCCACATTAATCATTTGTATATAGTAAGTGTTTTTACTTTCCATATCTTTCTTCTAAATTTCTATACAAGTCTGGAGGGACTATAGCTCATGTGATTGGAGGAATCAGAAATAAAACTTTTGTTACTGTTGCATCTCATATTGACCCAGCTAGCCTGAAGGAAACAGCACTGACTTGAATCAAACCATATGGAGAATGATTTACTGAAAAATGACAACATAGCTCCAGGTTTGAAAAAACGAAAACCAATACCGGAAAAAAATGCCAATAATACCGATATATCGATATTTTTTCGTGATTGTATTTTGCTTAATTTTATGCAAAATGTGCTTGATTTTATGCAAAATTTTCTGTTTTCAAATGACGCCAAAAAGCCGCGATAATTTATAACAAGAAAAATGTCCGCTTTGCCTTTGGGAATTGAAAATGCGTATATTTGCATCCGCACTCAGAATGAATTATCCGCACCTAGAATGAATCATGTGTCTAATTACGGATTTTCCCACAGAGTTAGCACATTGATCGTTTTTGTCCTTCTTTGTCCTTTTGTCCGAAAAAAGTTTTGTCCTTCTGAAAAAGCTTGATATGACGTTTAGATATACAAACGTAAACGTGATATCGATAATACCGAGAAATATCAATATTCCGATATATCGAAAATTTTCAATATCGAGTAATCGGTATTTATAAAAACCCGATAATTATCGGTATATCGATATACCGCAACCAGGGCCGTTTCCGGTGGCAAAGTGCCCTTCGCCTTCGTGAAAAATGTTGTTTGTGATTACTTGAGTGTGGGGCAGTTAAACAATGAGATGACCAGCCTGCTGCCAGCGCACTCTTTGGCTGCGAATCGGGCCTTTCAGAACCAGAAATCGAGCTGGAGCACGACACATGGCAAAATTTGAACGTGCTCGTTTGCAAAAACAACTGCAAACTGCTTTAATTCTTTCATTTGATCTCATCTGTGAGTAGGCCTCAACGGCCTTTGATGTGTGATTGCATTTATTTTTCCTTTCCTAACCTGCCCCCCCCCCTCCCCCGTCGCCGTGCCCTTTTCAGTCAAAAAGTGCCCCTCGAAACCGGTGCCCCCCAACTTTTTGATGCTTCCTATGCCCCTGACCGCAACAGCCTATTTGGAGGCCTATACCTTTGTTATTATAACAAATGCTTTATATTTTAGAGAACTGCATTCTGGCCATTCAGTATCTATTACCAATAGCGTGGTTATAATTCCACATTTGCATGGACCCAATCTTCTCAGTAAATTCCTGATTTTAATTAAAACATTAATTTTTTGTGTGTGAAAATGTCAATAATTTTGGTGCATTTCTGTACCTAACTACCATCCTGAATCCGGATTGAAAGCTCTCTATAAGTGCATGTAATTTTCTAAACTGTGATTTAAGAATCACCAGTTTCATCCATACATATATACAAAGCTGTGCAAATACGTATAGAAATCAGTAACCATGTTGAAAAGTGACACAGACCGCTTTCTCGTCGGTTGAGTTAGACCGGACTAGCTGAATCATGCAAACCGCTATCTAGTCTCAAGATTTTCAAGCTAGGACGAAAACGAAAATATAACGTATTTTCCGATCGGTCTGAATTTTGGAACAACGCTGAAAAATACAACTGCAGGCACTGAATTCATCTAAACATTACGCCATGCATGCATGTACTGTTACTTTATCCTTACAGTATCTCAAGTAAACAAGACCAAATACAAACCATTGAACTCGACACCAAACCATAGTTCGTTGAAAAGTATTTCAAACCAAATGTGGTGGCTGTTGCAGCTGTTAAATATGTCGTTGTGCCAGCCATTGTCCCAAACATTGTGACGACCCAAATAAAATACAACCACTTGCCCGCCTTTTCAGACAAGGTAAAGGTCAGCAACAGAAATACCATCATTGTATTTTGAACGATAAGTCCAAGCTGTAAAAAATGACAAATTGTGTAAGTACGTCTGTAATTAAGCTGCTACACGGCAAAAAACGCCGAGCCCGTTGCTCAACAGAACTGAACAATGTTTTGCTGCCCACGTTGTTCACACTTGTCAACAATATTGAACAATGTTGTTGAGCCTGAATCGGGTGTAACAATATTGTTCAATATTGTTGACAGCTATGAACAATGTGGGCAGCAAAACATTGTTCAATCCTGTTTTCATCAGTATTGCATCAACCTGAGCGTTTTTTGCCGTGTACTAAATAATGAATTTACTGGCGCTCTACGTCATGTCATTCGCCCTTTAGTGGTTCTGAGCAATAGGAACTTACTTAGACTTGCTGCAAGTCTGCCTCTCAATTGGGTTTTTGTTCGGGATTTGTAAAGGGTGCGCGAAAATGCGGGGGGGGGGGAGGAAGGAATTTTAAGGCGAGAAATAAAGGCCTCATACATAAACAGTTTTTGAAGTAATTCATAGGATTATATATATCATAGCATACATCGTTTTATAATAATAATATAATAACGTTTGTGATTGGCTAAGCGGGAATAACGCAGATGAGCATGGTACTGATATTCTTAATTAACTGTGTGTAAGTATAGAAAATAAATTATTTTCTTGTTTTTGTAGCCCATGCACTCGCCGTTCACATTTAACAATCAGCCGAGATTCAATCAATCAACCTGAAACGTTTTGATATTTTACTTGCGTTGGGGCCCATATTGATAGCTGTTTTGTAACTGACATGGTTATCATGTAAATGTTTGCCTACACGATACGAGTAGTAGTATACGATTCCAATTCTGGCGTATGTAACCGAATAAGTACGGGTAAAGAAATTTCGCCATAAACTAAATAAATAGAAGTTTAGGCGCCTGTAGTAATTTTCATACGTTAGAATGACAATCGTGTGCAACTAATCGTATCGTGTAGACAGGCCTTAAAAATATGTTCATCATCATCATCGGGAGAAATTTAAATTTCTTCCGGACGAAACACTTGTATTTTGATAAATTTGTGTTTTCATAAAACTTGTACTTTGATAAGAATCAAATTGTGCAAGATAGCATGCAGTGCTCAATCGAGTTAATGACGTACCATGGGATACAACTGGAGCTCATGACTACAATAGACTAATTTACAAACTCATGAGAATAACTTGTCAATTTTACCAAACTCACCCTTAATGGCAATCTATCAGCAATAAATCCCCAGAATATTCTACCAACACTGATAAATCCTGTCCCAATAGAACCAACCAACGTCAAGAAATAATCATTTGAAATGAACGTCTCTCCGTATGCCTTAGGACAAAGACCCAAATAAATGTTATCAAAATCAAGAACTCATAAGTATATATGCACGGTCCATGTTACTGCAAGAGGGTGCATAATTTGTAGCACACTATTTAAATCTCGATGTTAAATAATAACTATTTGTATTAGAAAATAACTAATTAAGAAACTTTCTTCAAGTCAGCCCGTAATTCAGTCAGAAAACATCAAATGTGCATGGTAGTGTTGTTCTATAGTAGCTTATAGTTGTCCGAGTCTGAGAAGTACGGAGATTTTGTTGGCATCTCACTCCAGTTAATAATAGTTGAAGAGCTTTATAGATAAAAATTATCGAGTGAAAATTTAGTTACATCTACAAGACATTTCAACCATCTGGGAAGTATGCCCTGGGTTATTACTTATCCCGGAAAGTACGTTTTAACAGGGAGAAGTATTAATACTTTATTTGAAAAAATGTTGTTGTTGATATACAATAGACTGGGATTTATCCTTCACTCTTGCATCAATCTGAGTCACCTGACTGAATTTAGACATTTAACCTAAGCACGTACCTTATAAAAGGATGATACGAATATCACGGCCTCTCCATTAACAAGTGAAAGAAACCATAAAATCCAAAAATATTTTGTTTTGATCATCTTCAGTGGATGTGTATCAGCAGATAAATCTGTTCTACAGTACAAATTGTGTTAGAATTACAGAACTCGGTATCCACTGTGCAGTTTCAGTTTAATTAGTTTTCAGTTGTTGAACAGAAATACCAAATATTACTCAACTTACTTGTCTTCTAATACGCCATTTTCTTCTCTGTATTCACCTGTGCCAGTTAATTCTTGAAAAGGCGATTTCTCCGGTTTAGTCTTCAAAATAGAACATCTATCTCATTATTTTAGATTGGTTTTAATCCTAACAAGCTAACACAGTTATGATAATGTATTCTTTTAAAAATAGGCGTTTAAATATAATATAATATAGTACAATATAAATTAAAAATAAAATAAAATAAAATCAATCTACACATTTACGTGGTGTTTCCACAAGCAAAAAGTATTATAAATCTTAAACACTTGAAACAATGAAAAACTTGGGTCAAATTAAGCCCTCGATCATGCCCAAACAATTTTTATTAACTATACAGAAAATTTCGTTAAGTTGAAGTATTATTATAACATCATTTTATTCTTAGTATTTTAGGAAGGCTTTATTTCTAATTTACCTCATCTGTAACATTTCTTGGTGGTTTAAACAACAATAATGCACCAACAGAGCACAACGCACAACATACACCACCCAGTAACACAAACAAGTAAGGTACACGGTTTAATACTTCAGGTTGAGCAAAATATCTATGATGAAAGCAATATGTTAAGTTATATTTGCTTATTAATAGATAGCCCGCTTTGCCGGGACGACCCATGAGAGGCGGGATCGATAATTTTGACTTATTGAAATAAGTCATGGGGCACGATTCAGCAAAACTGCTTAAATTATTTTTCTAGCGACAGATTGACAAATCTGGCTAACGTTTGTTTATACCCAAGAGTAGTATAACCTCTTCCCCCCCGGTTGGCGGCAGAAGTGACGTCATAAGGTGTGAGTGCACAGTACACTGAGGCATGTGGTACATGGTACAAATTTTTGTATCTGCGCAGCAAATATACTATGCTATCGAGTTTGCTTTATCTGTTAGCTGTTAGCTGTTAGCTGTTAGCTGTTAGCTGTTAGCTGTTAGCTGTTAGCTGTTAGCTTGCAGCCAATCAGTGTCTAGTATTTTAGCTTGTGACCGTCCCTAGCCAATCAGCGCACTATGCGGATATGACTATTCAGTGTAGAACATATAGATCAGTGAGAAAACCGTAGAATCGCTTGAACTGTGTTTGAAATGTTTTTGTTTTAAGGTAAGAATTAAAGAATCATAATCAACAATTTTCAATGTACTAATGTGTAAACAATATTCAATGTAGGCTACTAGTGTTTAAACATGAATGCAATTTCTACGATGTATAAAATAGATTAAAAGAGCTATATTTCCAGCAAAAGTTTTTTAATATGTATGGTATTGCTACTATTATACGACCAAAAAGTTTGAATGTGTATGATTGACCTGTTTGCTGCAGTAATTTATGTTCCTTGAATAGTTTATGTACATTACTCAAGTCTCAACAGTTGACGTTGGCAATCTAAATGTAATCCATGCATTATAAATATAAACAATTGACAAAATTTGCTTCATGTGATTTTATATACAATAAAGTTTTGAAAAACTGTCAAAATTTATGAGTATGGATCATTGACATATATATGATTTCAATGTAAATGTTAACTTCTATATGTATTGTTTATTGTTTAAATTTGGATGCTATATATGTCAATGGTATGGATTGTAACAACACCTGCTATCCTGACTCTATGGCATCTAAAATGTTTCGCATATCTCGATTATATGGCAATGATAAAGAAGATTGTCAAGTTATCAGTGTGACATCCCAGTTTATGTATCGACATATATTATGATGTCACAACTCAGTTGACCTATTAAGGAAACCTTTGTTACTGTTATGGTAATAATCCGAAATATACTGCAAGTGGAATTTATAGCAGCTATTTCATTCAATATGAAAACTAGACCTGAAAACTTTCTTCTACTGTATATAATATATGCTAGTGATATTAATTTTAAAAGTATTGTATTTTGTGCAAGTGTAGTATTGTTTGAATGGAATTTGTATTTCGTGACTGCATGATTATTCGTTATGATCAAAATGTCATTGTGAAATTAGTATGTTAAATTCTCTTTCCCCTGTTTACAGCCCTGGTAGATGTGTATTGTGCTTGATCTTAATATCTAATTTGCTATTATATAAGTGATGAAATATATATTTCAATTGTTCATTGGTGTCACAGATGTGCATCTGTCTAAACTGCAACAGCTACAAAATACAGCAGCACGTCTTATCTGTTCTATCTCTAAACATGATCACATCACTCCGACTCTCATCAAATTACACTGGCTTCCTGTTCAATTAAGGATCAAGTTCAAAATTGCTATGCTTGCTTTTAAATGTATCCATCAGTATGCACCTCTCTATCTTGTCAATCTTTTAAAAGTAAGAAATACATCATGCTATAGTCTAAGATCTAACACAGGCACATTGCTTGAAGACTATAGTACAAAAACAAAGAAAACACTTGGCGACAGAGCATTCGTAACCTCCACTCCAAAAATCTGAAATGAATTACCTATGTATATAAGAAATCTGCATAACTTTAGTATTTTCAAGAAATTAGTTAATTAAGACTTATTATTTTCAAGAAGCCTTTAATGTAAATACTTCATGTAACATATAATCTATATAATCTTGTTTATATTTTTAGAATCATTTTAGTGTGATTATGTTGTGATGCGCATTTGATCATATACTATAACATGTTAATTTGTGCTATATAAAATATTAAATATTATTATTATTATTCATTTCCTTTCAAGAAAATACTAAATGTGACTCAGAGTTTTGCGCAGATTCACGTACGCGTAGCGTACCTATTTTTTTATAAGCCAACGCTTTACCAACTGAGCTATAAGAGGTGTACGATTTTTCTGCTGAAATATATCTGAAAACCCATTTTTATTCTTTTGTAAATATAATGGTTCTTAAAAGAACTGGGTTTTTTTTTGTCTTTACAGCTGAAACGATAGACAGCCACACCACGTGGGTTTTCCGCACTCACTCTAATGTGACTTTTTCTTTGATGCAACTCAGTAGAATGCAGAGTTCTTTTACACACTCGACATCTATCGTAAAATCACAGCACCGCGTTGCCATGAACTGTTCCCCATCGCTTTTTGTTTTGAAACACAAGAAGCAGAATTTAATTTAATAATAATAATTTATTAATTTATAAAGCGCTAAACACTATAAATATTCTAAAGCGCAAATTTGGTGTTGTGGTATATGCACATCGTGCCACTTCATTGTCGATGTTCGCAAAAGTGAACGTCCATGTCAGGAAGCATCTAGTGTAAGCTAAGTGTCCACAGCAGTGTGTCTTGATGAAATTATTTTTGGTGATAGAGAGCATTCAGGCGCTGGTAAAACTCCGATCGCTTCCATTGAGTCGAGTGTATGTGATAAACTATACAATGTTATGAGTCGATGTTATATAGAGTGTACTGTACATACCGTACGTGCGGTATAAATCATAATGATAGATGATAATATTTATCTGACATCGTATAGTGTACGTGCGGTGAGTACAATTATCTTTTTTATCTGACGTCATCGTTCATGTTTTAGAAAAAATTCTCAATTTTTTTCTGTTAAAATATATCTTTAGAAAATTTATTTATATTCCTTTGTAAATATGATAGTTCTTAAAAGAACCGGTTTTTTTATATCTTTATAAAGATTCTGTAGCAGCCACATTGTGAAGGCTTCGACTTCGACTTTAGCACATTGTTGATAAGCGTTGGCTTCTAGGTGATTCGGACAGGTTTCCAGCCAGATGAATTGATCAAACAATGAACTACTTGCGCTTTAGACTAAATTTTAATCTAAGTAAGAACAACGAAATTAGCACCACAGCTGGAAAGAGCGTCTTGGAATTAGTAATATTACAAAGTTTGGTTGCGAAATGTTGTAAAATACGGAAAATATAGTCCTTCAAAGTTGGCAAATTTGTATACTTTTGTATTACGTGCGTGAATTGGTAACTAAATTAGTTACGAATTTCCGCACGTAATAGAAATGTACACAAATTTGCCAACTTCGCAGGGCTATATTTTCCATATTTTACAACATTTCGCAACCAAACTTTGCAGTTTTTCTAATTTTGATAACTTCTTTCAGAAAATATCCTTTGTTATTCCCAGATTAAAAATTTTTCTAAAGCGTAAGTCGTCCATTGTTCGGCTTTGGGACAGCCAAAGTATTCCAAATTGGCTAAGGGGATGTTGAGGTTTGTCAACAAATCTTTTTCATAATGCCCTCCTTTGTAGGCCATTGTAGAGTTTGGGTTTCTACGTGTTGACCAAAAATCATGAAACAACTCTTGAATTCTTAAAGGATTTGAGATACAACTTAGATTTTTCTGATTACCAAGCTGATTACCAAGCTATATTACTGGAACGAAAACCAAAGTGCATGGCCATGGGCCATGGCATATAAGACACTTAAAACAATACGTATTGGTATGATTATTATCAGTTTAAAAACAATATTTATGTCTATCAAGAGTTCAGAACAGTGTGTATAAGACACTATTTACATGTAGTGTTTTTGTTATGAATAAATTATTGTTAAACGTGATAATTTATTGTGTGTTTAATTATTCGCTGAATATGTGTTTTTGACGTACAGTTCCTACTGAGAAAAATATCGATTTTTCGAAATGTATTTTTTGATAAATGTGATAGCTCTTAAAAGAGCAGGGTTTTTTTCTTTTGCTGAAAAACTCGCAGCAATTCTTCCGGATCGAAGCCAGTTCATGAAGGCGAAAGTGATGTTTACTGCAGTGTGGGCGGCTTTATCTTCTCAGTGGCCTCTGTGGATTATGATTACTACGAGACAGTGCAAGATCTTATCGACGCCGTCAATTAATAGAGCCTTGGACTGAAAGAGACCGGAAACCGTAATATTACATTATCGTTTGATCCTCGAACTGCGAAATTAGAAAAACGACCGAAAGTCCTTACGTGGCAAATTTGTTCGGTATCACGACAATCTACGTTTATTGCAATATTGTTCAACCACAGATCGTCGGAGATACGAGTTCTCATTTACTCAGAACCATTCCTGTAAATGGCAAGTCTGGTGACGTCATTGCTAAAAGTTCACCAACATGCAATACGTGCCAGTCCAAACAAAATCCTTTGAAGATGTGGAAATTCTTTTAACTAGGAACGACGCGGGCGATCCAGTGCCATTTGAACGTGCGAAGGTGATAGCGACACTTGTACTTCAGAAAGCAGAGTTATTTTACCTAAAGATGAATCATCCACACATACGCTATTATTTGGAACAACAAGAAGGGCGTGGCCTGTGTTCAGGGGTAGCCCGTGACAGTCAGTCTATGGTCAGACAGGCTATGGCTTGGGGGACCTGTTTCGTAATCTCACAAGAAGAACCATGCCTCTGATCAGAACTGGAGCAAAAACTCTTGGAAACATCGCTCTGAAAAGTGGGACAGACTTCCTGGGTGATGTTCTCACGGGCAAAAACATAAAAGAGCTACGGAGGCAGCTCATGTTGCGAACACTCCGAACAGGAAAGCTATTAATAAATTGATGAGTCAAACGGGAAGTGGAAAACGTGCAAAGCGCTCGAGAAGTGTAAAGCGAACAGTTAAAAAGAGAAAGGCATCGGTATCTCCAGCCAGACGCAGTCAGACCAAGAAACGGAAAACAGCTGAAGACATATTTAGTTAAAAACATGAATTTCGTACATTCCAAATCGCAAGAATGCACAGAAAGCGAACTCGATCTATTCTCTGTGCCCCCAACACAGATCAGTTTAGAGAAAGGGCATTGGGCAGATCATCAATCCGTTTCCAGTGTAGCCGATAGTGGTACCATTATCTTCCTGTCTCCAGGCACTGAAGATTACATGGACCTTGCTAAAACGATCGTCGTGGTAGAAGTGACAAAAGACAATGGTTCGAATTTTGGCGCAGACGAAAAGGTTGGAGTGATGAACAATTTCCTACCAGTGGCGTAACGTTATATCAGGGGGCCCCCGGTTCAAAATTTTTGAAGGCCCCCCTAGTAGAGGTGCCAAAGGCACGAGTCGAGCGCCGTATATGCACGAGTTTTCTAGGGGGTCCAGGGCATGGTTATCCGGAAAATTTTTTAATCTAGACTCTCTCAAATGCCATTTCCTGGAGTTTGGGGAGAGATTTTACAGAATTCTGATGGTCATAAAACGACATTGTAACATATCAGAGGCCCTGGCCAATGTTTTTGCCCTATCGCCTAAGCCTGGGGGCCCTCATTTGGGTTGGGGGCCCCCGGGTTCACCCGGTCTGAGCCCATAGTAGTTACGCCACTGTTTCCTACATAGCCTGTTCAAACAAGTGGATGTCTTTTTGAAAGAAAAGCAATTAAGTCATCCAACACGACTAATGGGTTATCATGCCTACGGGTCATTCAGTCGCATAAATTATCGGGAAATCCTTCCACCAGAGTTAAATTGGGCATTGATTGCAACATTTGTTCGAATTCTTTCTGATGTATGCCATAACAGTATGTTATTTTAGTTGGCACGGGATTAAACAGTTCCTCTGCATGCCGTAACATGGAACGAAGCAAATAAGATTTCCCACTCTGACTCTGTCCACAAATATAAAAATTCGCAGGCGTTTTAAATCTCACATCCATCGTGTACACGTGCACAACACGTACTGCGTTATTATTTACGTGTCCGTTCATTTTATAACCAGATCCTAGATATCACTCTACGGAAAAACTCTCTTCAATCCGAAACGCGTTAAGGTCAAAGCTTATTATAGGGGCTGTAATCAGACGAACGGCCCTATACGCGTAGCGTCCTCGGAATAATGCATTAAATAAATCAGTGTCAGATAGGCCATAGCACGGTCAAAATTAGTCACATTGATCGCGTTAACGTTAACAATGACATGCATCTCCTCTGGATTAACATTCACTATCACTTGATTGTCAGTGCTTCGTGACGTTCAACCGTGATGAGATAACGTTCTCATGTCAAATCAACGCCGTTTTTTTGCAACTCATCCAATATCACTTCCATCGCAGCAAAACAACAAATGAATACAACAAGTGAAACAATTTATTTATATGTAAAAATCATGACTGACGTCATGTACAACGTTTTATAAATGTTACACGTAATCATTTACAAATTTAATTTGCTTGCAAAATCATGCATGATCATATTCAGTTGCCAAATAGTTGTTCTTATTGCAACTTTGCTTCTCTAATGGTGTTTTACTAAAGTTTACAGGTTAGAGAGATCCATTACCCTGCTCCTCAGGTGCCCACTCAAAAAACTGACACGTGTTCTCCTTGTCGTTCGGACAGCAGAAAAATAATCGATCCTTGTTGAGACCTTCTTCTTCACCTTTCGGATTGCACACGATTAGGCAGGGCCCGATTGTGCTCGGCAACTTTTGAGCAACTTTTTGCGTTTGGAGCAACTTTTTTCAGTTCGAGCAACTTGAAGCAACTTTTTCGTTTTTGAGCAATTTCTGAGCAACTTTTAGGCTTTTTACTAAAATTAAAACTTTACAGCTTGAAATATTGAAATGTTTACAACTTCATTTTCTGCGATATATTTCTGTGCACATTCTGTATCAGTACAGGGTAATACATGATGTGCACAGGCTCAATTAAATATTCTATGTAATATGCTGTAAATAATACACCCTTGAATGCATGCTGCTTCCTTGCTTTCCCCTGTTATTTGCTTGCTAGGGGACTAGGGTTGCCTGTGTTCTCTCGTCGAACCCCAAACTTGAAATAATTAGCGTAAGAAACGCAGAGCTATAAAGACAACACTTGCGATGTTGTTTTATTGAAAGATTTGTTATTCCAGATATTCGTGTTGATAGTTGTATGACATTTGTATTTTTGTGAAATTCTTCTCTGTGAAAACTACACAAACATGGCACTAAATAATATTTACCTCCTCAATTTATAACCTACAATACACGTACAGTACGTGCATTGTATGACTTCAGATAAAACATTAGAGACCTTTAGTCGACGTTTACGGCAAACGTCAAACCGCTAGTGAGGTTTTTGATTTTACAACTATAATAGCTTTTACACCAGTTTTGAAATATGTTAAACTTATTAAACTTGTGCTCTTTAGCAATGAACAAGACGCTCTACGGAGCGTTAACTCGCTGGGGCTATACAAATACGTACTGTATTTTTATAATTAGTTTAATTAATAATTTTGAGCGATTTATCAAGAACACAATTTCGCTTGATTTTCAAAGACAAAGGCCATAAATCCGCTAGAATACGGTTGTTTAGTAATACATTTGACATCCGTAATTAGTACAATTTCTAACGCTGAATGGAACGGTGGATATATTCTTATGGCGCCATTAGGCATTACAAAACACTATGAAACGTACTGCGAGCTATTTGTCAACAATTAATACGTAAACAATACAATTTGACCAATTTCGCTTGATTTTCAAAGGCCATAAATCGCTAGAATACTGCTGTTTTGTAATACATTTGACATCCGTGAGTACAATTTCTTACGCTGAATCGAACGGTGGTATTTTTATCCTTATTGCGCCATTAGGCAATACAAATACAAGAACGTTTGTAGCGCGAGTGATTTCTCAACAATAGTATACGTACTGCGAACGATTTATCAACAAATACAATGTAGCTTGATTTTCAAAGGCCATAAATCGCTAGAATTCTGGTGTTTTGTAATACACTTGACATCCGTAAGTACAATTTCTTACGCTGAATCGAACGGTGTTGCTTCGGCACAGGGGGCAGAAAAGTACGATTGTGTTTTATAAATACCTTGTCATCAACCAATATCCCATATTTATATTACAACAATCCGCAGACATAGTCATAAAAGGATCAAAATTAGGGCCATTCCATTTAATATCCACACCCCCCCCCCTACGGATGAGGTCAGTAAAATTTTAACCCCTAAGAAAAAAAGATCAAAGTGCCGACACAAAACACCCCTCAGAAATTTGTAAATTTTCCCCTTACCCCTCAGAAAAATCGCAGAGATCAAAGGATGCCGACAGGCTTAACCCCTCAGAAACGACTTTTGAGTCACCCTTCAGAAAAGCTCATCCGTAGGGGG